TCCCCACGTAAAAAAAAAAACGCCAAATTAATTTTGCCTGAGGTGAATGCATTTTTATTTTGAGTGAGTATTTGAACGCCGCGGTACTCGTCTCGTCTTTTTCTAGCAACGTTAGTCAGTCTTGTTATACGTGAAATTTATGCGTAAATGTGAAAAATGTCGCGCTAGGTAATTTTTATTTAGAATTTGAACATAGAGGCGGGGACATGTTTAACGAATCATTGAGACTTTTCACTTTGGGTCGCCCTCCTACGACATCAAGCATCCGCCCACTTTGAAAGCTCGCAAGGTGGTGGTACCGATCAGTAGAAGGGGCTAGGCCCAGGGATGATCGTACCTGCGTCACGAATTACTCGTATGCTCCGTAATAGGTTTACGAGACGTGGATTGCTATTGAGAAGACAGAGACAAGACACTAGCGATGCATGTGGTACGTAGAAATACAAATTTCTGCGTTCATAAAGCAATTTCTAGATCTTGCGCCTTCTGGTTCTAACGGTTTTAACAAAATCATAAAAATTTTAATTAAATTTCTCAAAAATAGCTTGACTAGGCGACTGTGTTATAAACCCTTTAGTCTTTTACTTAAGAGTAACATTTATTATTACATATCTTATAAACTAATCAGTATCTAAACCTAGAATTGAACGTAACCGTAAGTCTTTCAATTCTTTATCGACCTGTGCAGTTTCATTAGAATCCGAGTTACACTTCCTGTCACCCCGTTTTAGTATGGCATCTCGTTGAATTCGTCTCAACAAGCACTCTGATATTATGAATAAAACAATTTAGCGTTCCATTAAAAAAAATTAACTTGGCCTTTAAATTTTCCCTTACTCTGCGGAAATACTACTTACATATATCACATAACGTCTTCCTCCATATCAAACAACTTTTGTAAGAACATCTTTTTGATACCATGAATTCCTTATGAGATATTGTACCGTGTCCAATTAAAACAGATACCTTGTACAGGTAGCGTGAGTCAATAAGAAACAACACCTAAATTAACTCATTATTTATTAATTTTATAAAAAATGTTTTGCGTGAAATACATTGTATTCAATGGGATTCGTCAAATAAGTACATTTTGATTTTTGTATGTCTTCAATTTCCTGACTATTTTGTATATACTTTTTATACGATGGCTGTCAAGACAAATTCAGCCACATGTAACACAAGGATCTTCAGAGTCACACAAGACCAGGTATGAAGGAAATTACTAGATTTACTAGATTTACTAGATTTCTTATTAATAAAGCTACACAACAAAACATATGGATTTTCATTGGATTGCTCTCTGTCCGGATATTCCACTTGGTACTTCAATTTGCTATGTTATTTAATTTTATTGCACTCGTAATAAACGCGTACCACATCCATTAAACGAGCCGCATCGAATACAATGTATTTCATATAAAACATTTTTTTATAAAATCAATAAAGGACAAATTATTTCAGGTGACAGTTTTTATTCACTCACCCTGTGTAGTACTAGTATATTATATAATAGTACATTTAAGTATGCAAATACGTGCAAATGCTTTTCTGTGGAATATGTTAACGGATGTTATCGAATTAACGTTAAAATGATATTTTCACAAATAATGTATAAAGAAACAAAATTTATACATTTAATAATTCATGCAATATTTAAATCACTAATATTTTTATGTACTGGTAGATTTATTCACTACATAAATAGAAGCCAAGACATTCGAGATTACAGAGGAATAATAAAAATTCATCCTTTCAAAAAAATAATTATAATATTTTCAATACTATCATTATGTGGATTTCCCTTTCTATGCGGATTTTACTCTAAAGATCTAATTATAGAATACTTTTTTATCAACAAAATAAATACACTTAGATTAATTAACTTAATATTAGGAACCATATTTACAGTATCATACTCAACTAAAGTTTTATTAATCTTATATTTAAATAAATCACCAATTTATAACAATATAAACTACTCTTGTAATAAAATAACAAATTATAGAATACTACAAGCACTGTTGCTTGAAACAGTTCTTTTGCTAGAAGTAAATAACATGTCAGAGCAAGTAATGTTGACATTGAAGGCAGCGTGTTTAGTTTATAATAATAATACTATTAACAGCCTGGAAATACTCAAAAACCGGATTATTGCTGCATATGAAGAAATTCGTCTTCAACAGTCTTTGAAACGTCGATAAGAAGCATGTATTATTGCAGAAGGAAATCGTTTTCAGCAATTTCTTTAAGGGGGTCTTCTAGTGTGACGGTTTCAAAAAATCGATTTTTATTTTTTTGCATATATCGAAAGTACAACTCTTTAAGAATGTACTCCTGAAGTTTTATAGTTGTATTCAATAAAATAACGAAGTTATAGCTCGTTTAGTGTGACACATCAAGGGAGAATCTAAATTGCACTGAAAACTTTAAACGCGTTTTTCTCGGAACCATGTTTTCTGAAATGGTTGCCACGATCTGGCAAAAACTACTGAACCAATCGAACTCAAATTTTGCACATATCTTCAGAACATGTGTGGCTATGGTCAGTAGTAGAATTATGCCAAAATATATATTTTTCTGATTTTTAGAGCCTCTGAAAGACGAAAAAAAGTCGAAAAAATCGATACTTCATATTCAAAGTGCCGCCAGTTTTTAAATTTTCAATATTTTTCTTTTATTCTACTAGCGACCATAGCGGCATGCATACTAAATAAGAATCAATTGGATTTTTTTATTTCTGATAGGCAGAACAGCTCAAATCATGGCAACCATGGACCTACTTTTTCTTTTCATGCTCCTGTTTGACGTGTTCCATAGCAGCCATATTTAATTACTTTTCAACAAAAAAAATTTGTAACGATTCTTCAAGGACAAGTAAATACATAGGAATAAAGCTTATGTTAATAACTGTTACCGTACTTCTGTAATAAATTAGCAAAAAAGGCCTGAAAAAACGGCCGTCACACTAGAAGACTCCCTTAAGTAAGCTTAAAACATTCCTACAATACTCCATCATAATCCAAAAGTGTCTATATCTCGGAAAGGAAGAGTTTTCGGACCTATGTTTATATGACCTCTTTTCATCCTCAGGAACGGTAGAATACGGTACCAAAAGTTTAACCACCTATTTCCTAGTCACCCTGTGTATAATTTACAAACATTTTAATTATAAATTACTAATATTATAATGTACGGAT